ATGGACAACCGTTCCTGACGCTCGTATTCATTCATTTGCTAAGCAAATTATGAAGCGAAGGGATTGGTATGAAGCGGCCGTGATGCTGCATGCATACATGGGTACACATATGCAGCCGTATCTTCGGTAGCGGTGATTGGCAAGATGCCTACGGGAAACTCGTCCGAAATCGATTTACAAGTCACTGAGAACGGAGGCTTTTTCTTCGCAGGATTTTGACCGTTTCACTCCGTTCTTTCGCCATTTCCCCACTACAGCGCCCTACTAGCATTTTAGGCTAAGTAGGAAACCATCGTGCCAACTGCCTTCAAACGAATCATCTACGCTCTGTGGATTTTAAGAAAATTCGCTTCAGTATTTATTCGGGAAGATATGAATTTGTCGAAGGCATACATCAGCTAGGTAGGACCACGCCGTTGAGAACTGAATGTAGATGAAACGCTTCTAGCCCTGGTGTTTGGGTCTACACATAGCTGAGGAGCGGTAGGCGTGTCCGCGTGTGACAGGGCTGGAGTTCGCTAACTAGCGCTTTCCCTCAAATCTCTAAAACCATCTTACAGCCCACTACGGAAGACTGTACTGCTGGTACCTCCTACTCCTGTTCTTATTTTTCGTCAACGTACAGTAATCTACCTATAATTCATCGAATGGTAGGCTCAGACACGGCTCACCATGTTCCGATAATTCTTCGAACGTTGCAAGCCTGAGCTTTAAAACATGAAAGAAGAATAGGATCATGTGCTAGGTGTCCTGTTTGAGTATGCTGTAAGACCGGGATGGATCGTGATGTGATGGGCTGGGCGTGGCGAGCGACACCGTTCACGCGAGAGACGAGTTACCTTGCCCGCTCGTTTAAATTTCACTGTTTGAGAGATGGAAAAGACCGTTTTTCTCGACACGAGTGTTGCCTCCGCTTGAATTCACTCGCGTTTCGCTGCTCCAGTCAACGCAATGCACATCGAAACTTGCCGCGCTTTGTCGTGCGGTGTGGCGCGCCCGACGGAGCGGCAAATACCGATTGTCTTGTCCGCCTCACGCGAATTCAGGTCCAAATTCCTTTTTCCGCCTATGGCACAAAGAACATGGCACAAAGAACACATTGTGTCCCGTTCCCCTCGATATATGTTATTTGGCCCTCAAAAAACTCGTACCTAAAGTACAATGTCGTGAAGACCCGAGGAATGGATAAACAATCTGAGGTAGTACAATGGAGAGAATGCCTGCCGGGATGTCCGAGGAAAGCATGCCATTCATCACGCCTGAAACAAAACTTGAAATTTTTGACGTCTGCCTGAGTTCTACGTATGAACAACCCTTCCGAAACCGAATGAATGTGGAAAACTGTAAAACTAAAATGGAAGGTCGTGTGTGGTGGGGTCCAGACATGAATTCATTGGCGCTAACTTACCGTTTATGCATAAAACAGAAGAACCTCTCGAGAGCGTCCCCAATTAAGCCCGCCTGATTCCCAGCATTTTGCGAGGGTGCGCTGAATAAACGACAAAGATACTGGGCGAGCAGGTTCGGGCAGTTTCACGCATAGCAAGGCAAGAGAACCATTCCAACCTCACGCGGTAGCGAAGTGTCTGTGGGCATTGGTATGGGTAGAGTTTCTCCCACCCCTTTCCCTCTCCACTCACACAAACCAGGCGGTTCCTGCAGTGGAATATGGCACGCTTAGCACGTGCGATATCTGGAGTTAAGACCTGAATCGGTTCTCGCTCAGACTAACCAAGCACCAAGCCTTCGATCCTCTCGATAAATTGGTAACAGGTTCCGGTCTGGGAGTATAAGAACACTGTCTTTTTCACCGGGTGGCCCTGCAAGTCATTGTGTAGGTCTCATATAAGCCACCACTATTCCGAATGGAAGTAGAATGCGTGTCGCACCCCAATAAAGGAACTTAGGTAAAGACTACCTTTCTATCTACCCATAGAAAAGCAATTCCGGAGATAGATGTGGCCGAAAGGCAAAGCAAAAATCGAGAACAACTCAAAGTCGTATGTTTCGCCCACGACTCAGCTTTTTGATACATTTTCAGATTTGATGCTCGATTGGTCCCCACACAATCTGTGGGATATACGCTACAAGCTTCCTAGGAATGCAACGAACTCGCCTTGTGGAAGGAGCATGGAGGCGATTAACAGCGAGCCAAGGATATCACGTGTAATGCTAGCTCTGATGTCATATGTCTTGATCCTGCTTAGAAGTGGTAGAAAATCTTTTGCGGATCCGTAGCCGCTGAAGTTGTCGACGATAAGTCGTCGAAGAGTCTCAGCATGTGTCTTTTTCCTTTTGCAACGGATGAAGTTGAAACGTGAATCGAATTCATCCTGAAACTTTCGAGAAGTATAGCTTCAAGAGCAGGAAGGTTCAAGAGAAATCTTGCGGGCAGAAGAGCCCTGTCTTATGGGGCAAAGTTGTTGAGATAGACTAGTCGCTCTCCAATTCAAAATGATTAATAACAAAAAAAGGCGCTCGGCTGAGGGGAGAGCATTGTTCTAGTTGGCTAGTTTCTTTTACTTGTTTCTGTTAACCTACAAGTCTCATCTTGGTAAGACTGTAGTACTTCGTCAAGCATGAGAGAAGCTTGTGTTGTAATACAGCTTTGGAAGAGTCTGCAGGTCTTCACAGGAGTTACCGGTCGATTCGATGGGAACCAGGAAGATAACCTTACCAAGTCAAACTGCGCTAAATTATGCCACCAGTGGGGTGTTTATTTAAAGTTTTCTGACTTGAACCTCGGCTGGCCTCTAGTCATTCCTATTTATAACACGAAGAAAGTTCCTCTCAATATGAATCCTTCTCCCTCTGCTCCAGCTTACCTTTCACCAGCGAGCGGAATGCGGGAGAGTGTAGCGAGGAGGGTACAGTGAAACTCTCTTTCTGTTTACGGAGAACACTGCACTACCAAAAAGGGAACCTGGAAAGCCTCAGCTCCTTTTCACACCGGTTAGCTTGGATGTTGCCCAGCTCAAACCGTATAATACCGACTTCCCTGTCCGTTACTCACGGCCTTTCCATTAGGGTCATCCAACCATTACGTGCCCTAGTCTATTCCATTGTCTTCGCACTCAAAAGAAACATCTATTCAAACGAGTTCTACTTCTTCAAGTGTTAGAATGCGCGGTGCATTCAGAAGTCACTGATGCCGAGCGCAGTTTGCCTCTATCACTAGGTAGGGCACTATTAACCCTTACTTCCCCACTTTTCTGACTTTTGTCAGACCTCTGTAGGAATTTTTTCCCACATGCAGATTTGGCTCAACCCAGGTCACCGGGGGGTAGAGTGGCCTCGTGAACACGAATACCATATCCACTTGCGCGCTTCTGCTCCTTACGCCAGAACAAACTCGAAACACCCGATGGGCTGAATTTGGCCCATAGTAGTCTGATACCTTCAACACGAACATCAACGAACATCACACTATCTCGGCACGAAAACATCTTTACACGCGCTAAAACATCGGCGCCCAAGCTATACTCCTTATCCCTGAGTCAGAGTAGGCGTGGCATTAGAATGGCACAGGAATGGTTACTCGTGGAATATTCTAGGTTCTCGGGCAACGTCATTCCTTTGTTCTGCGTTGTACGGGAGGCCCGACAGTAATTGTGTCAAGATGAAATTATCTCACCAGAAGCGTAGACGCCTTCACGTTAAGTTGAAGCATACAGCCACGCCTACCCGATCTCAGGATTTCGAGATTACTTATGGAGCTGGCGCCAGTGGTCAGTGACTGCGAGCCACTATTCACCGAACTTCCGATACGTATGCGTATTTATGTTCGACGGATCAAACTACTATTGGGATCGCTGTTTCTTCAGGTCCAACAAAGAAGAAGAAGAATCGGATCAAAATCTGCTCTGAAATTCGAAGTTTGAGGTAGTGACGGGTGCGCAGTCTCGCTCGAATTCGTTCATTGAAGCTTAGTGGTCTCCGTATCCCCAGATTTTGCTTTAGTTACATGTATGCATCTCGTAGCAGTCACGCGTGGGCATGCCATTATAATCAAGCTTACGAACGGAAATTGTTCTGGCAATCTATGGATCATCTACGAGAAACAGACTTTTTCTATTATATAGCTGTGATATCTTCAAGAAAATATCGCAATCATATCTTATGAAAAAAAAGCTGTTTAATCTGTTCCCTTGGTCGTTCGAAAATACAGACATTAAAATAAACTAAATGTTTTCTCCATATTATCTGTTATTCATTTTCAGAAAGGCTTAACCTTTAGCTGAAGTGAATTGGTTTTTACCAGCTTTTAGCATTTATTACAAAAATGCTCCTGATTGCAAAACATGTGTCTAAATCCCAAATGGGACAAGAGGTGGGAAAGGGCTATGCATCCTATTTACTTCTTGATCCGGATTGTTAAATTAAGTAATCAATTAATTAATTATTTAGTTATTCGTTTATTATTTTATTCGTACACTATGACAGTGTGCTGCTACATTTCACTAGAGAACAAACTAAGTTCAAACCAATCACTATAGAATAGCAATTGATCGATAATAAATTTGGACGACACTGCGTTTCTAAAGTTGGGCCAAGACAATAAAGTTTGAACAATCACAATCTTCCAATGACCACTTGACCAGATTAAGATTCTCTGACTTTCGCTTCCTAAAACATCCTGCAAACAGTACATTCACGTTTCGCCACAATCACATCTGGCTCATAGACCCGTCGTAGCGAGAGCGACCGTGCAGCGATGTCCGAGTGGTTAAGGAGTTGGACTTGAAATCCAATGGGCATTGCCGCGTAGGGGTCAACCTGCTCGCCTGCGAAGCTTTGCATTTTGCTGTTTTCACGAAAAACAGCTTGATTTGGACGATTGAAAGTTGAACTTGAGCCAATTACTGAACAGTTTTTATATTAGGTTGTCCGGAAAGTTCTCAGCGTTTTGGGTGTTTCACTTTAAACGATCGTAACTTTTTTAATACTCATCGGATTTAATCGAAATAGGCACCATTCGAATCAGCACACTTTTGCCAATGTGACAGCAGTCGAGAAATCCCATCAAAAAAACTGGGTGGTCGAGAATCCACGAAATCTACGAAGGTCTTTTTTGCCTGGTCCTAATTGATGAAGTATTTTTCAGCAAGGAAGTTCTGAAAATGTTTGAAAAGGTGATAGTCGGTTGGTGAAAGGTCTGGAGAATATGGCGGTGAGGTAGAACTTCAACCCCCAATTCGTTCAATTTATGGATAGTGATTTGTGAAACGTGTGGGCGGGCGTTGTCATGCAAAAGAATCGGACCCTTTCTTTTGATAAGTGTTGGCTGCATCTGACAAAATTTTCGGTACAATTCGTCGATATCTTCAAGTAGGGTTCTGCTGTGATGGTTTGGCCTGGTGTTAAAAAGTTATAGTGGATCACACCAGCCGATGACCACCAAGCCGTGACCAGAATCTTTTTTTCGTGAGGGTTCGGCTTTGAAAATTACCTCGGTGGTCGTCAAATCCAACCACTGTCCGGAACGTCTCCTGTTATCATACATGATCCATTTTTTTTATTTTTTTTTCTCTTTTTCATCACAGGTGACAATTCGGCCCAAAAACAGGTCGTTTCTGCTGCGCAAAAGCAATGCAGAAGGAACCTCGAGACGTGCCGATTCCTGCCGGTCACTCCGATTTGGGGCACCCAATTGTCGAGTTTTTTCACCTTCCCAATGCGTTCCAGACCATCTGCAACAGTGGATTTGCCAAGGCCTAGCTCTTCTGCTATCTCTCGAACTGTTTGGGATGGGTCAGCGTCGCCCCCCTCCCGCCCCCCATCCAAAATCCCCTAAACAATCCTCGTCAGTATCATGCTTTAGTCGACCGCGTATGAGTTCATCTTCGAAGGCGTAAAAATCTCCAGAACGAAATTTGTTGGCATTGCCGCACAGTGCTTTCTCTAGCACTATTGGGCTCCCACACCTGGTTAATTTGTTGAGCTGTTTCGATTGCGGATTGCTCCAATTTATAGTCGAAGAAAAAATCGTCCGAAGTGCTCTTTTCACATGCTTGAAAAAATCTTGAAAAAAGGGGGTTTATCAAGCAATGGTGAACGGCAATTATACCATCAGATAGCGCAAGAAATTCTCTACAGGATGTGCTACTGAGAAGCAAGGCAGAATGAGTTTTAATCAGCAGTGAATGTACAAAAAATAGGTGCACAAAACGCTGAGAACTTTTTCCGGACAACCTAATAATTACCGCCCTAGAACAGATCGATAAATGCTGGTTCGAACGTTCATCATTCCGCGATGCCTTTAAAACCTTGTGGTGTGGTTTTTACCTATAAAATTTTCAAGTGTATGTATGATGAAACATATCCAAAGTGAACGAAAAAAAGATTAAAAAACTGAGCAGGATAGATTAACTCTGAAGCGAAAACCTGGAGAATTTTCAACGCATCTTTTAGTAGCTCTTATATTAGGGATCGTTTCACTTTTCGAGAACATTTGGGGACTTTTACAGATTTAGCCATCAGTCAATATTGGATTTCGGAACGAAAATTATGCTAATTAGAAGATGAGCCTGTGAATCTCTCAATTTTCGTCCAGGATTATGAGTCTCTGAAAAGTGATAAGTGACGCTGAAAAAGAAACGAGTGTACATCATGAAAATTTTTCCCACAGTTCTTCTCAAAATCGATTACTTTCCGAAATTTCCAACAGCAAAATCTATTATCTGTATAACTTTTACCGTAGTTCTCAAGAAAACTGCTTTTTTTTATTTTTTTTAACTTTTTTTAGTGCTTCATAACACAAAGAGCATAAGGACCATTTGAACAACAGCCTACTAGCCAGCTTACTCGCGTACATGCTGAAAAAAAACTAAACTCAAATAATCATGGTAATTATATCAATGATGGCAAAATAATAGTAATAATAATAATAATAATAATAATAATGATTGTAGATACAATGTATATATTCTTGTTATTGTTACACTCTCACAATGTTCACACTTACTCTATTGACTTACTGTTGTTATTCCTTCTCGTTGTTGCCTTAGCTCACTATTGCGAAACACTCTGAAGCTCACTTGGTACTGTATCTCTTCACACGACCTCATGGTACTCACGTGCTCACCAGTATATAAGGCGGCTCCAGCCGCCTGATCTCAGTCTATTCTACCCTATCTGTCCTCTACTCTTGCCGAATAAAGCTTCCATCGGACAGTGTTCGACTACACACCCCCTAGACACGAAGACGCCGCGCCCCGGACATAGGGGCCGAACCGAAGGAAGCTCGACAGTTGGACAGCCGCCAAAAGCCGGAATACCGGAAGGCGAGTACTGCCAAGTACCTGCCACCTATAGAAGGCAGAGAACCACACTTTTCGAGTGTGAGAGGCTACCTCGAGGGCAACCTCGACGTAATCGATCGAAGTCATATCGATTGACTATAGCCAGCCTCGTACAGGGTGCCAATAGGATTTCGCAACACTCGTCTGTACAGTTGTCAATACAGACTCGTACCTTCGATCCTATTGATTTCTTGCTATAGTCTTCAACATCCTGTTGTGGTTCATTTCGCAATATTCGTCTGCGCCGTAAAAAAAGCAGATCTGATCTTAGCGATACAGTAATCACAACTATTTCAGAACAGATATGAGCGACGACGACATGCCTATGGACGCAGATACTGAGCGTCTATTGCAGGCGGAACATGACGACAGCTGTATGCGCGAATTAGCACACCTGCTGGATGTGGACACAATGCAAGTGGTAGATAAAGTATCGGAGCTTGTAAAAACAGTCTCGAGAAAAAATATGACAGAAAATGCAGTAAAACCACTTGTTTTAGACAGTTCAGTTCAGGTTCCACAGCAGAGCGCGGTGTCGTCAAGCGCGGTTCCGAACCCCGCGGCAATCGAACAACTGAACCGGTTCGAGTTCGAACCCGTGGACTATCACGCTACCTTTGATCCAATCGCAGCCGCGCAAGGTAAGCAGTGTGTTCCACGTAGTTCGTCTCGAGGCAGTGGCAGAGAGCCGCCCACCGGTCTAAATGAAATAATTTTCAGCTCGAAAAGACGAACAAGCAGCAGCAGAAGCAGAAGGATCCCCTTGGACAATCCCGACACCAGGGCACCAAGGTGAGTATACTGAGTTTCCGTTGGGTTCTGCACAAGGGGTTGAAATGGCTCGCATGTTCGCTGCGCTGACCCTGCCCGACGTGAGTGTGTATGATGACCCGAACGGGAAAGATTTCGGGGACTTTCTTGCCCAATTTAAGTTAAAATATCAAGGGCTTGCACTCGATAATGACATGCTTGTGCATTTGCTGTTTTCGAAATTGGATGGTTTTCCTCGGTCCGTAGCAGATGCTTTGCCCAGATCTGTAAAACAAGCAGGATTTAAAGCTATAGTTGAGGCGATAAATTCCAAAGAAAACGAATCTTCCGCACAGTTAAATGCCTACATGAAGCTGAAGACGCTGCGCAAAGAAGGTGACGTGACAAGCTATTGCGTTGAATTAGAGAAGATCACGCAAAGAGCTTATCCTGGAGCCTCTGAAGAGGAGCTGTCGCGTACAAGAGCAT